ATAAAAAAAATTTAAAAAAATAATTAAAGGTTAGGGGTCATGTTTTCATGGGCCATTCCAGCTAACTGACCTGTTGTTGTGTTTGCTGTTTACCATGAATTGGAATCGACCCTCCAGAGGGTTTTCAGAGACAGTTTATCACATGGGAGGAGACTGTCCATCATTCTCCCTTGGAGAAGGTGGTGGCCTCGAAATGCATGCCTTCAGGATTGCAGTGCAGCTTCTTGCCACTAGGCCATGAGAGCTCCCCACTTAATTAACCTAGTAACATGTTTAAGGCTTCTGTCTGTTTCTTAGTTCCCTATGTGGTGCCTGGGGTTGTCAACGTTTGCAAGTGGTCATCCAAGGAAGACTGCTGGCCTCTGTTCACCTGGAGCAACAGAGGAAGGGGAGTCAGGAAGAGGGAGTGTGAACTGCCTTCAAGAACAACCTGTTTTCTTACCACAAGATCAGAAGAACTGGAAGGTGCTCAGGTGCCATTCCTGAGCACACGCATCAAAGATTCTATGGTGGCATCCTCATCAGAACAGAGGATACGAAGAATAGAATTTCACATTCTTGTGGAATCTGGACTTTCTGGAGCCAGGGAGGTTGAAATCAACCCTGACATTAAGTTGAAATCTTGACCCAAACATAATCCCTGATGTCATCTTAAAACCAACCGGTAGTTTAACTAGGAAATGAGTGTCCCTGGAGCCCTTGGGCTTTTTAAAGAACCATCTATAAGAGCTCAGACTGATGAGAACAGCTGGGAAGACTGGCCGGGAGCCTGAATGTGGTCGTAGGGACAGAGCAGCTCAGAAGAGGAGGCTGAGGATGGCCTCACAGTGCAAGGAATGTCCTCAGGGCCTTGAACGGCACCTGGACTTGGGTGGGTGGGGGTGCTGGGCTGGATATATTCACAACCACAAAAAAACCCAAAGGACAATGTTTTTATAAATGAACTCAATTGAATATCAAGTAAGGAAAAATGAAAATGTCTTCATAACATTGTGTGACAGCTGTGGACAATATTATAGTAGCCCCACATTTCAGGGCTGCTGGGGGCATCTGAGGATAAAGGAAAGTCTAATTGGTGGTCTAGCGGTAAGAAGTGCAATCTCAAAGGCGTAGAGTTCAAAACACAGGAGCAATCTCCTCCAAACCACTCCTTACCATCCTGGAGGTCACAGAAGGACAGCGTGAGTTCCTCTTAGGTGTCCTCTGTTCTGAGGACCTGGCTGCGATCCACACTGGGTCAGCAGCGGCCCCTCCGCCCTGCTCCCCCTCACCCCCTTGTCCTTGGCCACACTGCAGGAGAGCTTCTCTGATGGTCAGGGAAGAGGGAGCAGGGCTCAGCTTGGTTGTTCTAACCTGGGCCTCCTTTCCGGTGAATGTGGGCACTGGTTACCTGGCGACCAGGTGGGCCTATCTGTCTATGTCACAGAGGGGCTGCAATGGGAACAGGGCCAGCTGCCTGGAGGTGTAAAGCTGACATATGGCTTTCCATCTGCTCTCTGACACACTTGGGTTGAATCTGGGACCCAAAGGAAAAGAAGCAGTCTTGTTTCTTGTCTTCTCCCAAATATCAATACACCTTTGCTCTTGAAATAATAAAACAATCATTCATCTCCAACAGCTTAGGACTAGAAAGCCATCCAACAGATGCTGTAATCTCTGTCCTCCCTGCACTGCTCCTGGGGAGAAGCCGTTCTCCATGAACAAGGGACTGTGAGGGAAAATGAATGATGTGTTTGGAGAGGTCACAGAAAGCTGACCACCAGGGGCTAGCTCAGCCCTCCTTGGAGGCCAGCCAGGGAGCGGACAGTCAAGAACAGCACAAGGGCCGGATTCCACCACAAGGAAATGGGAAGATGATCCCCCTCCGCCCCCATCAGAGGCCAGAACTGCCACCCAAATACAAAGAACTGAGGCCTCTGAGCCTGCTGTTCTCAGTCAGAACACTGACTCGGCCACGGACTGTCAGAGGAGCTTTACCTCTGTCCTGGAATAAGCTCAGCCGAGAAGAAGGGTGCTTAGAAGCAGGGACGGTGCGACTCGGTCTCATTCACTCTGGGCGCATGATCAGAAGGGACTAGTCCCAGGAAAAGGACAATAAGCAGGGAAAGTGGACGGTTGGAGAGAAGAGGAAAACCGACAAGGAGAACTGACACCACGGCTGCAACAATGAGAAATAAACAAAGCAACAATTCTCAGGACGTCACAGAACCCGGCATGCTCCATTGGGCCCTGCGGAAGATCGCTCTGGGTCAGGACCAACGCCACAGCTCCTCACAGCATCACCAGATGGACGTGATGAGGATGATAAAAATGGAGTCTTTTAAAACACATACCGATCCAGGCCACGGGTTTTGCAATTACTTGCTATGCATCAGAGAGCTGGACAATGACTAAGGATGACAGAAGAATTGATGACTTTGAGTTGTGGTGCTGGAGAAGAGTCTTGAACACATGATGTACTGCCAAAACACCAAACAGGTCTGTATTGGAAAAGGTGAACTAGTTTGTTCCTTGGAAGTAAGGATTTTGAAGCTCTGTCTCACATAATGGGCATGTGGACAGGAGGACTAGTCCTTGGAGAAGGACATCGTGTTCAGAAGGGCAGAGTGACAGCACAGGAGAAGACCCCAGATGAGACAGATTGAGACAGTAACTGGGGTAATGGTGGTAGGTGTTTTGGAGACAGTGAGACTGGCTCAGGACAGGGCAAGGTTCAGAGCTGTTGTACGTAGGGTCGCTATGAGTCACAGGTGACTTGACAGTACATAACAGCAGCAGCACACACGCTATTGCTTTCGACAATCCCTGGGGACAGGTTCTGGAGTGTAAGGGGCTTGTGAGTTTATTTTAATTAATGAGTTAAACTTAGATGATGAAGCAGGTACAGTAAGTCTCTCTCCCTTGCCTAAAACAAAATATTTTTAAAAACCAAACAAAAACCATGTTTTCCTAAACCTGTCTTCTTGTTGTGTACTGTCAGGTCACTAGCTGACCGTCCAGTCTCCAGAGGCTATAAATGTCCTGGGAAGAGACTGCCCATCTTTCGCCCCAGGAGCAGCTGATGAGTTCGAACAGCCTGCCATTCGCTTGACAGCGTAATTCCTCACCACTAAGCCACTCACTGGTGCTCCCTCTTACAGTGAAAAAAGTGGAAACTCACCGGCACACAGCTCATGGAGCCACCTGCTCCCGTCAACCCCTCAGCCAATGTTCAAAGTCCACAAGCAGAGTCTGTTTGGTGTTTGGGAGGGGCAGGGACTGACTGGGAAAGAAGGCTATAAGGTACACCAGGCAGTACGGGGGTGAGGAAAAGCTGCCTGGGTTTGGGCACCGCTTCAAGAAGACCTGAATAGCTCATCAAGGAAGATCACAATCTACAAACTTCAAATTAGATTGTTGTGAGTTGCAGAATACTCACGGTGACCATATGAATGAAAGACCTGAACACTTACATAACTTTAGTTCTTTCTCCATGTTCATAGAGTTTCTAGAGGCAAGCCATTTCAGAAGTGGATGCCACTCCTGCTTCCAAGCTTGTTTTACTCAGGGAGTGCCACCAAACACTGTCCACCATGGGCAATCATTATCATATTTGACACATCAGTGCCACAGTGTTCAGCATCACAGCAACTACAAGTTTCCTCTGAACAGCAATGCACAGACCAGTGCTATACCATTTAGAAGAATGTCTGACCAAAAGCAATTAAAACCAGGCCTGAGGGCTGTGGATTAAAATCACCCACCTTGGGCTTGGTAGCATAACCTTCTTTCCACTAGGCCAACAGAGCTTTAAGTTGTCAGTTATTGTTGTTAAGTTCCATCGAGTTGTAGGATTACACCTCAAAATTCAAAACAAAATCCTACCCACTGAACCAATAAACAACATCATGACAGATGAAGTAAAGAGTGAAGATGTCTAGGATTTCATTTTACTTAGATTCACAGTCAACATCCATGTTGGGAGAAGTCAAGAAATCAAATGGCATAGTTCACTGGGTAAATCTGTTGTCAAAGACCTCTTTAAAGTGTGCAAGAGCAAGGACGTCAGTATAAGGACTAAGGTGCACCGGAGCCAAGTCATCGCATTTTCAATTGCTTCATATACATGTAAAAAATGGACAACAAACAGGGAGGAACGAAGAACTGATGCCTCTGAATTGTGGTGGTGGTAGTAAAGGATACTGAAGCCACCACGGACTTCTAAAAAACACATCTGTATCAGAAGCAGCACAGTCAGTGTACTCCTTGGAGGTAAAGATGGTAAGACTCTGTCCCACACACTTTACAGCATGCTGTCAGGAGGGGCCAAGCCCGAAGAAAGACAGATGATCAGGGAAAGAGACAACTCAAAACGACCTGGACTGACACATGAGTGGACCCAGGGCTTAACCCTAGTGAAGACGCTGAAGATGGCATGGGATCAGGCAGGGTTTCATTCTCTCCTGCTGTTGTGTGTTGGTCGCCACGTGTAGGAACACATTCAAGGGCATCTACCAGCAGCCCCTGGCCCCCGTCCCTATGCTTCGCAAGGCCATTGTCAACTGGCCGCCTGCCCAGGCCCCCACTAGCTGCGCTCAGGTACCTGATGAGGACACACTGGTTGTCATGGCGCTTCCACAGGCAGCGGTAGCACTCGTTGGCGATGGCGAAGATGTGAGGTGGGATATCCCCCAGGTGGTGCCGGCTGTACTGCTCCATGGCCTCGTGCTCGTAAAGCCCCGGGATCGTCTTGTAGGGGTTCACGGAGGCAATGATGGAGCCGATGTAGGTCTGCAAGCACAAGGGACCAGGTTACACACAGCACGCTGGGGAGGGGCTCACCTCCACTCACTTCCACTCGCTCTGAATGCAGATCGGGGCTGCTGCCCCTCAACTCCACACTGTTCCTCACGCCCACCGGGGCAGACGGGACTACAGTCTAGCTCAAGACAACATGCTACTGTGGCTTTCACACAGTCTGCATGATTGGATGGTAAAGGGAAGGACAAATTGTCTCCCCAGTTGCACATATATTTTTTTCCCCTCTCCTGTTTTTTTTGGTAGGAAATGCTTATTGTTCTGTATAAATGACGGAAACCAATGAAAGATAATGGACAGAAGCAGCTCAGGGCTGACCCCTGTCCCTAGGTGACCTTCCTAACCCTCCTCCTCATCACAGAGGACAATTCCAGCACCTTCCATGCTAGAAAACTGGAAGGAAACACCCAAACCCACCGGCAGTGTGTCCACTCTGACTCCTGGCAACTGTCCACTGGGTTCTGAGGCCATAAATCTCCACAGGAGACTGTTCAGCCTTCTCCTGTGGAGCAGCTGGTGGATTTGAACCGCTGACCTTCTGATTAGCAGTGGGAGGCACTGCACACTACCCACCACCAGAGCTCCTTATATAAAAAAGGGCAGGATTACATAAACAAAACCACTTCATGAAAATGCAGCAGAAGTCTGTAGACACCAGAAGCTGGGTCAGATGGAAATTAGCAAGTGAAGGAAAACCCAAGACTGAAATGAGGCAGTTCTCTGACCAGAGACAGTAAACACCCGAATAAAGGCTGAAGACTTGAGAGGCCTGGGAACACGTGCCAGCTCTGTCGAGTTCCAGCTTTCGCAGGTTGCTGGGCATTGACGCGTCCACGAGAAAACTGCATCCAAGACTGGCTACTGGGTTTCCACGCACGGCCACGTATGACATAAAAACCCAGCATCGATCAGTCAAGTTCACTGCAGAGAGACTGCTGGACAGAGCAGAAGTGCTCCGGAGGGCTCCCAAGGCTGAAGACCTTTACAAAACACACTGACTCTTCCTCTCCCCAGTGGAGTATCTAGTGGGTTCAAACCACTGACCTTTGGTTATCAATAACTGCTTTTGACACCTCTTTTCCTTTTTTTTAAAAAAAAACAATCTGTTTGCTTACAAAGTTCATATACATTGTGAGTCACACTGTTCTTCATTCACATTGTGTTTCATACAATCATTCTCATACATTATTTTACAAAATTAATCACCAATGAAACTTGCCCATCATGACCCTGTCTTTTCATCCAGATCCTTCCCATTTCCTTCCCCCTTCCTCTGCACCCACCAAGGTGTGCAATTCTGTGGTTTTCCCCTTACCCATCCTCACCCTTGCCTCCTTGAGTTCCCATACATGTTTTACTAGTTATCTTTCTAGCTTAACAATAATGGTCTTAGGGAGTATTTTTCCTTATGACATCATGTTAGTTCACTTAACATAATGCTCTCCAGCCTCTCTCAAGATATGTAGTTTACAAATCGTTGCTGCTGTGTGGTGCATGGTATTCTATTGTGTGAATGCACTACAATTTCTCAATCTATTCCATTGTGGTTGGACATCTGGGCTGCTTCCATGTACTTGCGATGGTGAATAACGCTGCTGTGAACACTGGTGTACAAATCTCCATTAGGGTCTCGGTTCTAATTTCCTTGGGGTCTGTTCCTAGTAGTGGGATAACTGGGTCTTATGAGTTTCTATGTTCAACGAGCACTTTTAACCACCACGCCACTAGGGCTTCTTAAGCACCTGACACTAAATAAAAAGCTCACCGCACTGCTATCAATTCTGTCTCATGCATCTCTCTTTTTGGTTTCCGAGGTTTTAAATTTTAATGGGAGCAGATAGCCTTTCTCTCTAGAAATGACTGGTGGATTTGAACCACCAACCTTTTAGTAAACAGCCAGGGGTCCTGTAAGCCCATGTGAGGAGGTGGGTGGACAGTGCCGTAACCACCACCATCTAGCAGCACCTGTAAGGTGCTCCCTGCGGGCCCGACCTTCTCTGATCTTCCCAATGACCCCAGGAAGCTCTCATTTTACGGCACAGATTCCAGTGGAGGCTGAGGCATGGAGCTGTTTGTCATCAGAGATTCCAACACACAGCCACCCTGTGTGAGAGGGTGGAGCCAGCCCACAGGGCTTCCTGGGCTCCCAGCTTTATGGAGCCGGATGGCCCAGTCCTTCCTCCCAAGATGCCTCAGGTGGGTTAGAACTGTGGACCTTTAAGTTCAGTCGAGCATCCAACCACTGTGCCTTAAATAAAACACGTGGGGCTCCACAGCCCATACGTGCACCCCATGTTATTACACTCCACTCTACTGTGCTTCCCAGAGAATGTGTGTTTGACAAAGTGACGGTGTGCAGCAAGCAGATGTGTCAGAGCCTTTTCTCCTAGCAGTATGTGCTCACTTCATGTCACTATGTCACATTTTGGTAACTCTCCTATTTCAAGCTTTATCGTCATGTTATTATTGCATACTTCACAGACTATACTACAGCGTCAACATTACTTTTATAGGCCCTCGAACTCAAAAACCTCCAAACTGTCATTGAGTCGGGTCCAACTCAGGGCAAACTCGTCCTTGGGTGTCTGAAGCCGTGAATGTTTGCAGAAGGAGACTGCCCATCTTTCTCCAGGGCTCAGGAGTGGACCGACCCTCAGCCTTCTCGTAGCAGTACTACACTCTGCTCCAGGCTCTATGGACGTGCTCACACATTCACTCACTGCCAAGGAGTCAGAACCGACTCACAGCTGACCCTCCAGAGTTTTCCGAGGCTGTAAACCGCACAGGAGGAGACTGCCTCTCTTTTCTCTCTTGGAGCAGCGGGTGGATTCAAAGCACCAGAGAGATGTGGCTTTTGGGTCCGCAATGAGTCCCTGCGGACTGGAGGTCTCACTCTGTCACCATCATTACTTTGTCTCAGGGCTCTGGAACAGAGCCAGAAATGCCACCGGGGTGTACCGGTGAGCAGTCATGGGGGTATCTGAACCGAGGGGTCTGAATCCATGGGCTCTATTCCTCACATACGATAGTGGGGTGCAGTTATAAAGGAGAGCAAAGAAACCCCCAGAAAAATGACTTAGGAGGGCCACACGGTCTGAGCGCATCTGCACCACATTAGAGCAAATTGCAGTAATTCACGTTCTCAGCAACAGCCTGGGCCCATGAAACATCTTATGTTCAGCGTAACTCTGTTTTCAAACTTAAGGAGGTCTATAATAAGTTTTTGACATATTTGTGGCCCAAAGAAGTTAAAAACCAAGAGGATGTGGTGTTTTCATGGGGAGTGTTCCGTTCCCCGACAACCATGACTCTCCCTAAAGCTCTTCTCCTCCCTCAGAGTCCTGTGGGGGTGTCTGGCCAGAACGACAGATGGAAACTGTGGGACAGACTCTGGGTTCTGTCGAGGGCACCATGTCTCCTGCAGCGCTGGGGCCATAAATGTTCCAGTTCCGTCTTTCATGGTAACTGCTGACAAGCAGTGGCTGAGGCCACGGTTCCCGCACTGTCCTATGACCTAGTGTCAGGCCTGTCTCCAGCCTGTGCTTCATTCGTAGACCCTGTTACTGTAAAGATCCCCGACAGCAAAGGCTGTTAACCAGAAAGTCAGCAGTTCAAACTCACCAGCCTCTTCTTGGGACAAAGACGAGGCAATCTGCTCTCATTAAAACTGACCACCTAGGAAACCACGTGCAAGGTCTCCACAGGTTCAAACCACCAACCTCTGGCTTAGCAGTGAGAGCTTTAGCCACTATGATAAAAGGGCTCTTTAAGCACGAGATCAAATAAAAAAAATCAACTCCATGGTTATCGACTCAAAGGCAGTGGGCATTATCAGAAGACACTCTGGTAGTGTAGCAATTAAAGTGTTCAGCCGCTAGCTACAGAGGTCAGTGGTTCAAACCTGGTCAGCTCCTCCAAAGGATAAAGATGAGGCAGGCAGCTTCCATGACGGCCTTGGGAAGGTTTACTTTGTCCCACGGGGTCATTATGAGGTGGAAGCACTTCGACGAAAGTGGGTTTTATTACTACACTTTTATCTAGTAAAAAAAACAAAACACCAACACAAAAACAAACCCCAAATCAAAGGGGTTCTCTCTTATTTTGTGGACCATCATCAGGGCAGCCAGTAACTCTCATTGTTTTCACAAAATCTAAGGGTCAAGTGGAAGGTCAAGTGAAGATGTGCATGGTTAACGATGAACGACACCGGCTGATTTGAGGCTCACTCTCCCTGCTCCCCAACAAGAGCAGCTTCCGGCTGATCCTGGAAACCAGACACGTGTCCTCTGATGCTAGGACACGCCTCTCTTCCAGCACCACAGCCGCTGAAGCAGTGCCCTTCTCTCTGCACCAGGACAAAGCTGCCACTGCTGTTTCCTATACGTCATGGTTAGGACATCCTGTGATATTAGGATACTCCGAAAAATGTGACATCAAGACTGGAGAAAGAGTCATCGACACCATTCTCTATGCAGATGACACAACCTTGCTTGCTGAAAGTGAAGAGGCCCTTTGAAGCACTTGTTGCAGAAGACCAAAGAATACAGCCTTCAATATAGACTGTTTCTCAATGTTAAGAAAACAAAAATTCTCACCCCTGGACCAATGCACAACAAAAAGATAGATGGAGAAAGGACTGAAACTGTCCAGGACTTCATCTTACTTGGATCCCTAATAAACACATTTGGTACCAGCAGTTAGGAGATCAGGAGATGTATCGCACTGGGAAAGTTTGCAGTCAGGAACCTCAAGTTTTGAGGAGCAATGATGTTTGAGGAGTAAGGTGCACCATATTCAGGCCATGGTCTTTTCAATGGCTTGCTATGCTGCTGAGAGCATGACAGTGAATAAGGATGACAGAAAAAGAATTGATGCTTTGGAGTTGCAGTGTCAGAGAAGAGTGCTGAATATCCCACGGGCTGCCAAAAGAACAAACATGTATGTCCTGGAGAGGAGGCAGCTAGAGCGCTCCT